AACAATAGAGAGGCAGGATGTTAATGAGAAATAGATATGGTTTATTACCTGTTGATGATGACATGTATAGTATTCTCAACTGAACCGGTCTGGGAAATATTTCATGATGGGTGAAGTCTCTTTAATAAGCAAAATGAGAAATAGTGATTGACTGTTTAAAAAATTATAATAATAATTATTGGGAAAAGCATGGAAAAGATATTGAATGATAAAGTGGGGAGATTGATATCTCTGTATTGACTGACATGCATGGCATTCCCTTTTGAAAAAGCAATGGAAGTCAATGTAAAGTTATATGTAATCTAGTGTAATAGAAAGAAGATTATGATGATAATAAAAAAAAAAATAACTGGGCATATATTTAACAAATGGTCACACCACAATAAACTTATACATTACTTTTTACTTTTCCAAAAACTTTTTGAAGTCACTTTTTTAACACCTTTTTCAACCCCATTTTCTTAAAATTGAATTCTCTTCTCTATGATTTATTTGTAGGAATTCTTTATATTATAAATCTAATCACTTCTCATGTGTGTTTTTTCCTAATAATATATTTTGATGAACAGTTTTTTTAAATGTAGATTCTTTATACCATTAGAATATTTTTAGTCTCCTAAAAATTATGCCCTCAGTTTCCCCCACAGCTCAACCAATTATGATATATTTTCATTCTTTAGTTTAAAGCACTTAACAATTTTCTCACATCACTGGGTGGCCCCTGAATATTTTCATATGTTCCTCATCTCAATAAGACTTTAAACATATGAGCTATATTTATAAAAATTGTGTTAATATCTTTGCTAATTTGTTATTTCCATGATGTCTTGTATTAATTATTTTTCCCTAATATGGGCCATATTTTCTTGCTCCTTGCATGCCTGTACTATTTTATTAGATACCAGATATTTTACAATTTTAGATGCTAGATATTTAGTATTTCTAACAATATTCTTAGTTTTGTTCTGTGATGCAGTTAAGTTACTTGAAAACAAAAGCAAAACATTCCTAGCCGTCACTAATTCTTATTCAGGTATAAATAATCTGATATTAAAATAAAAGTGAAAAATAAAAAGGGTCAAGCATGGCTATAAACTGGTTTTTGTTGTTGTTTTTGTTTTACATTTTAGTAATTCTTATTTCTCTGTTAGTGTACAGCCCATTAACAGAGTCCACTAGGAGAGAGCATACTTCTCAAAAAAATATATAATAATAAGTAAAAACAAACAAAAATAACTCCCAGTAGTCCAAATAGAGTTGGATTTTAATGAACGTTGTTGAAATTGTTTTCCTCTACATAAAGGAACCACTCTTTGCCTCTCCTTCCTCATTTTATCAATAGCTCTTCACAAGTTCCCTTGCCTAGTCTATCCACATTCATGTCTCTGCTGCATCTTGTAATAGGAGTCATCTCAAAGCTCAATTGTTCAGATGCTGGGCCACTAGCCAACCACCTCTAGTATGCATTCCCAGTGCCAACACCACAATACGTTTACTTCCACTGGTGTCCAGCACACAGACTCCTTCCCCTGCCATCTGATCTGAAGACAGCCAGCACTAAACAGTTCTAGACTTTCTTAACCTCCATCTCTGTGAAGTAAGACTAACACCAACTCACAAAGTATTATGATTTAATAGTACTATAGTCTGTAGCAAACTTAATAAATGTCCATCTTGTTCTCCTTTCCTGTCTCTTCATACAAGGGAAACAGTGTTCTTAGACCTACCAGGTTTGAGTGGTCAAATATGGAAGATTTATTGCTGAGAGAAGCAAGCCAGGCTATGAAAGAGAGACATTGTATGTCTCCACTTAATATATACTGTCTACACTCTATGGTAGAGACTAAAAGATTAAAAAAAAATGGAAAACAGTTACGGACACTGGAGACAATGTGGAAGGAGGGTGGGAGAAGGAAAGAGTACAGGGAGGGAAATTAGAGAGAAAAAATAGAGAGGCAAGATATTTGTGGGACACAGAAATAGTTTATTGCCTGTTGATAATAACGTGTATAGTATTCTCAACTGGACTGGTCTGAGATGTATTTCTTGTTGGGTAAATTCTCTTTATAAGCTAAATGATTATAGTAATCAAATGTATAAAATTATAATAAAATAACCAAAAAAAAGACCTGCCAGGACTATGAGTGATAGAAAAGATTGACTCATCAACTAGATTCTGGAATGGAAAGGAGTTTGGGGCAAAAAGAGGCCTTTTGGACACTTTTGGAAGGTCTGGTAGAATTTAGGGAACAGCCTGGTAAAGTATAAAATGGTGGGTCCTGAAGGCACCTGTCTACCCATTATGCAGTATGAAGCAACTAACAAGAGAAAGTTAGATCTACATATATAGACATTATAAAAATAAAATAAATTAAATTTAAAAAGACCAAAGTACAGTAAAAGTGCAGGGAGGGCCTTAAAGTAGATAAGGTCTTTGCACTATCACTGCATGGCATGCCAAAGCTCTAAACAAAAGCTTAATCTACTGCTGGGCTTTATAGAGAAAAGAAACTTAAGCATTAGCCAGAGAAAGCCAGGAGAGGCTTGTTTAGAAGCATGAGGTACTCCACAACTGAAGCACACAGCTTTGCCTCCCCTTTAGAAAAACAAGCACAGAATGGCTCAAGGCCACTGGTCCACCTGACCCCCACTTT